AAGCATTTTCACACCTTTTACATGTAGCTCGGGTTCAACTTCTCTTTGTATCGAGTTATCACTCGAGTTATCATAAACACAAATGAATGACTGCAAGACAGTCCTCAGCAGCATGAAACCAGTGACAAAACTGATTGAGTAATGACGTACAGATGAAAACAACGGATAGCACTTCCTTAAAAATACAGGTTTTAAGCCTAAACAAGCCAGCACACATTAAACTGTGAACCACAAGTGGTCTGGAAACAGCCACCCCTGCCAGACACAGCCCTCTTGGCTTCTGTGGAAGTCTGAATCTCAGAACATGGGAGATTTTGTTGAGGAGGTCAAAGCTTCGATAGCCGGGATGAGTGCAACCTTGCATGTTCTTTGCTTCAGTTTCTGCCCTGTCTCTGCACTTCAGGGATGGATTGTAACCTACAAGTGTGAGACAAATGGACCCTTTCAACCCTTAAGTTGCTTTGCACAGAGTTTTGTCATAGCAACAGAACGCAAACTAGAGTATTTTCCTGGCTAAAAATTAAATATATGAGTAAAGGGAATTAATTAATAATTAAATAGCTTTGTGTTTTCCTTTCTTATATCAATCCTGTGTTATTTTAAGGCTAGCTACAGTATGCTATCTAAATTCCATCTCCAGAATCCTGGATTCTCTCACTACCATTTAAGGGATGAATCGGAATGTTTCTGGCCTGATCCTCTGAAGAATTTCATGGGTATCAATTGCTCATTGGAAACTTTAAGAATTATAGGGTTTGAACTCTTAAGACACTGTGAATCTTATTTGTGACATTATTTCATCTATTGTGGAAGAACCCGACTGATAGTTAGCATGAACCAGGGAAGAGAGAATCATGAAGAGTGAAGCTGACATGTTAGCTGTTCTAAGAACCTTGAGATCTCAGAGTCACTGTAAAGGGCCCCATATTGCTGCACAAGTGTGCAGACTGGGTCAATTTCATTACAAGGGTCTAGCTAAAGGATCAAATAACATCAAATCATTCCACATTTTAAAAATGAGCCAAAAATCAGAGAACATTAAAAAAAATAACAAAAGGAACAGATCGCTGTAAACTCCAAGGCTGGCATTTTTTCCCTTCAAATGCTAAAATAACAATATAAAGCTAAGAAATGGCAATCTGCAGGCTTCACTTAGAAGCCTGTGAGTTCAAGAGAGACCTCAGCAGGAAGCCTTAGCTGGTCCATCTCTGATGAGATGTCTTCCTCACTGGCACGTTTCTCCCAAAGAAGTGGAAAGCTAATGTAAGCCAAAAACTTCTGTAAGTTAAAAAAAAAAAACCTTTGGACTAACAGGTTTTCAACACCATTCTATACTGAGGGAAAACACTCTGCCCCATAGAATTAAATGACTTCCCCCAAACTCACTTCCCTATAAATTATAACATTAAATGTATTAAGGTAAAATTGGGATTTTGTGTTTACTGAGGTAGCCCTCCTTTTACTGACTCCATCTTTAATGGAATAGACCATCTACTTCTAGGGTTCAAAACTAGAAAAGGGATGAATAAAACTGTAAAACTGACCAAGAAAATGGCAAAAACAACTAAGGGGCAACTAAACACATCTCATTTTTGAAGGAAACCACAAATGACTCTTAGGAGAAATAAATGTGTTTGCAGTGTAGCAAGTACTAAATTGCAGGAATGTGAGCCATTCTAACCTCACAGAAGGTGCCTAGTTGCATTCCATTTCTTTGGGGTAAAGATCACAAGGAAAAAAATTAAACATATTAATGAGTTTGGAAGTTAGTGGCTCATATTAAGTCTGGCAATAACTATGAATTGACTATATTCTTACTAATTGAACACATTCTAATATAGTCCTTTTTAAATGGGGTTGAAAGTGGCAACAATGTTTTTGAGTTTATATTTTGTATTGAGAACTCAGCCAGTCCCTGGAAAAGTATAATTCCAAGAAAAAACTGTATTACAACCAGCCTGAAGAGATGGACCATATGTGAACTAAAGTAGAGAGGACTTGGGCTGTGCCAAGACTTGGGTTGTTTAAACTGTGAGAACACTTGAAGGAGAGACACCGTTATAAAACTATATGAAGCAACATGATAAATTTGCTCTGAAAGGCAACAGGAGAGATGCATACTGACTTGATAAACTGGCAGCTTTATACAGGATGGATCCAGTCAGGGAAAGTACAATGCAAACACCAGCACTAAGATCACTAGGAGGTACCAAGATCGCCTGAACTTTTCTAATACAAAATTTGTTTGTCTTTATTGGGGTTTCTATAAAAGCAACTTGAGGAGGAGTTTATTTGACTTACATTTCTATATTGCTGTTCATCATCATAGGAAGTCAGGACAGGAACTCAAACAGGGCAGGTACCTGGAGGCAGGAGCTGATGCAGAGACTACGGAGGAGTGCTGCTTACTGGCTTGCATCCCCTAGCTGCTCAGCCTGCTTTCCTAGAGAATCCAGGACCACACTCTCAGGGATGGCCCCACCCACCTTACCTGAGCCCTCCCCCACTTGATCTCTAATTAAGGAAATGCCTTGCAGCTGGATCTCATGGAGGCATTTCTTCAATTGAGGCTCCTTCTTCTCTGATGACTCTAGCTTGGGTCAAGTTGACTCACAAAACCAGTCAGTACAACTGATCCCTTTTCAACCTGACACACAAACACATCTTTATTAAAACCACAGCTCTTCCTTTCCTATTCACCACCCCCAAGATCTTAAATAACTTTAAAAGTCCCACAGTCTTTACAAAGTCAAACACTTTAAAATTTCAGTCCCTTTAAAATAGCCAATCTCTTTTAAAAAAAATCCAAAGTCTTTTAAAATTCAGTCTCTCAACTGTGAGCTCCAGTAAAGTACTTTCTTACTTCAAGAGAGAAAGTTAAGGGCACAGTCACAATCAAAGCAAAGCAAAACAAAATCCCAACCATCCATGTCTGGGATCTACTCAACAGTCTTCTGGACCCCTCCTCCAAAGGGCTTGCTTGGGCCACTTCTTTCGTTCTGTCCTCTATAACACCCATAGCTTTTCTTCTAGGCTCTGGCTTGTTCAACTCCACTGCTGCTGCTGTTCTTGGTGGTCATCCCATGGTCCTGGAATCTCCAAAACACTGGGGTCTGCTGCTGCAAGTGGGCCACACTTTCACCAGTAGCTAGCTTCTCGTGGCTCTCCTCATGGTGCCAAGCCTCAACTTCTTTGCATGGCTGCTTCAGCCACATGGTTGACTCATACATATTACCAAGTCTAGCTGCCAGCATGAGGTACAACTTTGGCTGCCTCTGGAACACAGCTTTTCTGTGCTCTCAGTAAACACTTTCCAGAAGATTTCACCTCAGTAATTCTGGTCTCTTCCTAATCATTGCTAATTTCTTAGCTCCAACCAACCGGCAGCAAGTGTCCCAGTAACATAAAAGTTTCACTGTAGCAGTTCTGGATTCTTGTTAATCACAGCTGATTCTTCAAACCCAGCTAACTAGAGCTACAGAATCTTAAATAAAAATAACCAATGGTCAATACAGTTTTTAAACTTCTCTCTGAAACTTCAAAAGCCAGGCCTCCATCCTCTGCACTACTCTCGACAGTCCTGTCTTCCAAGATTCCACAGATCATCCTCTAGACAAAGTTCTAAAGTCCTTCCACAATCTTCCCCCAACACATGATCAGGTCTGTCACAGCAATAAGCCGTTATGATGGTGCCAACTTGTCTTAGGGTTTTTATTGCTATGACAAAACATTTTGACCAAAAGGCAAGTTGGGTGAGGAAAAGCGTTTATTTGACTTACACTTCCATATTGCTGTTCATATTGAAGGAAGTCAGGACAGGAACTCAAACAGGACAGGATCCTGGAGGCAGGAGCTGATGGAGGGGTGCTGCTCACTGGCTTGCTTCTCATGGCTTCCTCAGCCTGCTTTCTTAGAGAACCCAGGACCACTATCCCAGGAATGGCACCACCCATCATGGGCTGGCCCTTCCCCTCTTACAGCTGGATCTCATGAAGGCATTTCCTCAAGTGAGGCCCCTTCTTCTTTGGTGACTCTAGCTTGTATCAAGCTAACACACAAACCCAGTACATTGTTCGATCTCTTTGGAAAGCTGTGAGGCCAATAACAGTTTTAATTTTATTTTGTGCATAGGGGAACTGAGCCCATTGTGTCTGGATTTGGCAGTAAACATCTCAACCTTCAAGCAGTAAATGCACGGTGTAGTGCATCCCATAGCCAAATGAAGGAAGCATTGAACAATCAAAGAATCAAAATATGTAGGGTTGGTGTTTAGCTCAGTGGTTAGAGTGCTTGCTGAGCACTCAGGCGACCCTGGGGTCAATCTATGCTTTGCATAAACTGATATGATGCCCTTGGCCTTGATTGTAACACTTGGGAGGTAGAAGTAGAAGGATCAGGAATTCAAAGTCATCTTCAGGCTGGGCTACTGGAGACCATTTAAAAAACAAACAAGGTATGTATATATAACTTGCTGTGATATGTATATATGCATTATACATATTACATATAGTGTATATGTCACCTTGTTTGTATAATGTATATGTAACCATATATGTATAATGTATATGAAACATTGTTTCCAGGGTTTTGTTATGGAAATTTTAAACATGTGTAAGAGGAGACAGTGTATTAACTCCACCTCTACAGCAATCCCAATTCCATCACCTCCCTAGATATTTTGGAGTAAGTTGCAGACTATCATCTCTATCACTAGCTAAATATGCATCTTTAAAATTAGGGTCAGTTTTTTCCTTCTAAAGACCACAATGCCATGGTGAGACTTTTAAACGTTTCAAAAATTGCTTAAGACAAACTATCAATAACCAAAACCCCAATCATTTATCACCTCCCGATTTACAGTTAGTTTTCTGCATCGCCACAAATTGCTTCCTACGTGGCTCACTTTGCACAGTAATTCGAGCAGCAGGTGGCCTCATCCGGCCCCCATGGGTAGGCGGGGCCTCGTCTCGGGTTCGTCAGCGACACTGGGTCCCACCCCGGTTGCCTAGGCGACAAGGACTGCTTCCTCTAGAGATATCATGGCAGGACTGTGGACCCCAGGGGCTATGACCCCCGCGGTGACTCCAGCAGACAGCACAGCTGACTCTGAGGTATGATGCACCCTCTTCCTATCCGGGACTGGGTCCTTGGCTAGTGCCAAGGCCAGAGTCACCAGGAACGCAGCCGGTGATGGCCTGAAAGCTGCCTGTCCCATCAGAGGACCCAGGGAGCTCATTACAAACCCTCTAAGCTTACTCTGGAAAGTTCCTTGCTCGCACAGCCTCACAACCATGGAAATGTTCAATTGTAAAGCAAGCAAGCAAACAAACAAAACAGTGATCTCTGTTCTTAAAGGGGGCCAGTGCCTTTTGTAAATGCCACTGATTGACAGTGACGATCTATCACAAGCGATCAAACGGTGTTAAAGGCTGCTGCGATCTGAGTGGGTCAGTTTTAGATTCTGTCATCACTAGGCGGGTTGCCAGGAGACAGGATCCAAAGCTCCTGAACTGACAGTGTGTTTCCTACCCCTGACTTCCTGGTTCATCATGAACTTGTCCTTGGGTACCCTAGGGACCTCCTGTATAACACAAGCTCTGTCATGTTAAGACCTGTCTGTCCTTGCACCAAGTCTCACTAAGGGGGTAGGGGAGGCATTAGGTCATTTGTCCACGGGCTTAATGTCGTGAAACTCCACTTTTACTATATTTCTTACTTAGTTGTGCCTGAGTGGGTGCGTGGATGGGTAAAAGCCTGAGTGTCATTGCGCAGTGTGGAGGTTCGAGGATCCCTTGACCTTAATGGTGCCCTTGTGTGTCCCGATGCTGAATGAAGCTCAGGTATTCAGCCTTGGCTGGCGGTGTCTCCATCTTGTGCTGAGGTTTTAACCATAAGCGTATCCGCTAAATCATCTGTGATTTTTTTAACATTTAAATCTCCTCGCTGCGTCTATCAGATTGTTTTTCTAGGATATTATTTTTCCTTTCTTTTTAAAGGCTCTGAAGAGTGAATAATAAAGTGTTAATTAACGCGGCTTTGTTTAGCCCCCATATTATTCTAAACATCCATCTTCACGAGGGAGATATATACTCGCTGTGGTGTGGGCAGTTAGGAAACAGTTCCATGCCTTCCTGTCTGACAAACAAGCTAGCCCCTCCTTCAGGTCCCCCAATACTGCAGGCAGACCACTAAGCCTTCAGGCTCTCCTATGAGCCTTTCTAAATAAAATTAGCATACATTAAATGCACATTTAACATGATAAACTGGATTCCAAGCCCATTCCTCCCTTGTGATCGCAAAGTTAACATAATTTTTAAACCAGCACAGGAAACGTCCCTATTAAATTTTGTGTCGTTTAAACATATACAAGAGCTTCTAAGACTGTATAGTCTTCATGTACGCACACACAATTTACCTGTGGATATAATGCCCTCTCTAAGAATATTTAGTGATTTGAAGTTTAATGAATTGGTGTTTAAGAATATGTGTGTGTGTGTGTGTAATCACAGTTTCAATTTTTTAGCTCAATCTTTTTATTATTAAGTAACTGAAGAAATCCAGTTGTAACATGGACTCGCTTAGCAGTATTCCTTGACTAAGAATGACAGTTAATATACACAGTAGTGAACTCTCCATATTTCACCCCTGTAAAACTCAGTTCTTGTGGACCGTAGCAAAGATGGTCCACCATCAGGACCTCCCATCTTGACTGTCTAGGAACTTTGAGGTTGGAAGAAAACATGGCAAAAGGCAGCCTTGCAGTCCATTCCCAAGGCTGCTGAGGGAAACAACCTTGGATCAGACTCCCTGCGAAATTAACCTCCTTAGAGTTATCCACTTCAGGGTTGCTTTTCTGGTAAATTCTGTATCAAAACTGAATTAGACAGAAGACTGTCTAGTGGTCCGGGGCATGCAAGAATGAAATGTTTACCTTTTGGCTAAGTCAATCAGAAATAAAAGGCAAGCTTCAGTCACCAGTGGTTCCCATGTGTTATCCATGGGCAACATCTAGAATAGAAACTCTTGTCCTATTCACATAGTAGGTGCTCCAGCAATTGTGGTAGCACATTAAAGCCATTGGCAGCCTGCCAGGTGCCAGATGAGGTGACTGCAATCCTCAGAGCCTGCAATCCACTCAGATGCTCTGAGCAGAGAGGGTATGGGACACAGAACCAGGAAAGTAGATTTGGGGTGTGGCATCCCATGAGCTCTTCTTGCCAGTATCTGAACTATAAACTCCGGTTTCTTCAGTAACGTTGGACAAAGGACCTCCTTTTCAAATGCAACACTAAACTTTCAGCCTTCATCTGTACGAACACGTAAGGTCAAAAGGAAAAAACTAACAATAATTGAAAATAAAGGTTTGCTATGTTTAGACCTATGTGAAAATAGTTTAAATTCTGTGGCCTCACGACCAGTTAGTTTATAAATTGACTTTCTTAGTATCTTCAAAAAGGTTAATTAATTAATATTCTTACAAATAATATGCTTTCGCTCACATTGGAGAGCTAAATTTAGGGAATTAAAATGTTTCTGTCCCAGTCACTGTTGGTGAATGTGATGCTTCTGTTTGTTTATTTTTTTATTGACTTTTCAAGGCAGGTTTTCCCCATGTAATAATCTGGCTGCCCTAGAACTCACTTTGTAAATGAGGCTGGCCTTAAACTCAGAGATTCGCCTGCCTCTGCTTCTTCCTCCTAAGTGCTGGGAATAAAGGCATGCACCACCAAGCCTTGCCCTGAATATGATTCTTAATGTGTCCCAAACAGGCTATGAACCTATTGCCTCTGGGAACTCAGTAGAATGTAGTCACTGTCTTATAAAAAAAATGCTGGTGTTCATCGTAGAGATCATCAACATGTCCAGTGGGAATCTGTAAACAGATTCCATCTACAGTAGGTGGTCCTCTAAAATGTTAGAAAACACACCCTGTTGGTAAGGGGAAAACTTGGACTCGACCTAAATGGCAAACCTTCAATTTTCTGCATTTTCAATATCATCCCAGAAGTTAATTTGTGAGACAGGGATGAGGATGTGGACCTCACAAATTCCTCAAGACCTGTTGTTCTCAACCTTCCCAATGCTATGACCCTTTTCATACAGTTCCTCATGTTATGGTGACCCCCAACCATAAAACTATTTTCACTGCTACTTCATAGCTATAATTTTGCTACTGTTATGAATCATAATGTCAATATGTTTGGAGATAGAGGTTTCGCAAAGGGGTTGAGACCCCCAGGTTGAGAACTGCTGCTCTAGGCTAACTGCTGTGGACTCTAGGAATCTGTTTGGCTTAACCACTGGGATTATTAAAGCACCCCATGACCTGGTTTCTCACGTGAGTTTTGGGGATCTAAACCCAGGTCTTTGTGATTGCATGGCAGGTAATTTTCCCACTGAACCATCTCCCCAGTACTTAGTCTGTCCAATTTTCATCAGGGTTGTACCATTTTTATATTCCGCTCTTACATTCAGTTTGGGAAGGTCTCCTTCGCCATCTTAACTTCTCCCAAATGTCTGTGTCTTCCTATAAGAATTTAAAAGTTATCTTGTAAAGTTCTGGGGAAAACCCCACTGGGATTCAGAATTGTCTTTGCATCACATTTATTATGTGAGAGGAATTTCAGTTCTTGAATTTGAAGGAGTTTCTAATACATTTCTTTCATCAGTTCTTAGCCTTCAAGTTCTGACAAAGTTTGAGAAATTCTGTCATAATTCTTGTGCCTTTGTTTTATTCAGAACTAAGTATGATTTAATCAAGCTTGGGGCATTTCCATTTCTGATCAGTTTCTCAAACAGAAAAAAGAAGCTGGCTTTGTGTGTTTATGTTATGTATAACCATTTTACCAGGCTTCTCAGCTGAATGTTAGTATAACGTCAGCCTCCTTAAGGATACTATGATGTAATCTTCAAATAAAGGCCTTCTTGTTGCTCTGTGTCTACTGCTCAAGCCAGATATCTTTCTTATCTTCTAACTGTAATGCAGAATGACTCTCAAGTTGAATTACGGTGATGTTGCTTGTCGGGATCCCATTTCCAGCTCTTGGTTTTATAGCATTGACTGTTTGGTACTATGTGACTACAGTTTCAGAGATACTCTGTCTATCTCAGTTTTCTTTTTCCATTTATATTTACCAAGTGTTTCGTGACTGAGTTTAGAAAGTACCTGCTGGGCATTTACAGAACAGTCACAGAATGCATGTTGAATTGGACATAAACTTATGTCCCCTCTCTTAGTGATGGTTCTTTTCAGGTGATAGGCCATTATCCCTTGATCACAGTGGGACTCATCTATTTTTAACTCTGACTACAGTCCAAGCTCATTAGTGCTTTGGGTTTCTATATTCTCTTACATTTTGTGCTTCTTTGGGTTCTTCTTTGCACATTCTAAATATACAGCTTAAAACTGAAAATTTTTCCTTCTTTTTTTTGGTGGGGGGTGGTGAGTAGGGGTTGGGGGTTGGTTTTGCAAGACAGGGTTTCTCTGTGTAGTTCTGGAACTCACTCTGTAGACCAGTCTGGCCTCAAACTCACAGAAATCTGCCTGCCTCTGCCTCCTAAGTGCTTGGATTAAAAGTGTGCACCACCAGTGCCCAGCCAAAAGCAAAACAACAACAACAACAACAAAAAACCCTGAACTATTAATAGACTAAAATTATTAACCTAGATTTTGATTAAATGTAGAACTTCGTGATAATACCACATGGGCAAGTGAACATTACAAAAGGTTTGGTCAGATCAATTCTCTTCTTTATCACCACTAAGTTTTAACATCACATTTTTCTAGGAGATCATCCATTTCCTAATGTTTTGTCTCCTGCTGTGGACATTCACTTTCCTTATTCTTTAAGCACATTTACCAGAGAGTTGCCTTTTTAGCCTTATCTTTAAATAGCTAACTATTGTACTTGTTTTGCATTCCTTTAATTACTTATTTTCTTTTAAAGAATAATTGGTTTCTGAGCCCCGTGGGAAGATCACGATGAGGGGGGTGAGGTCCTATCCAGTCCAGCATCTAAGATGTGCCAGTATATTGTCAATTCAGACAGGTGAATGCTTCGATGGACCACGATGATAAAAACCAAAGTGGGCACAAGAGATGGAGCAAATTTTCAATTAAAGACAGAGTCAATACTCCTGATTTTTCACTTGCCTGTGACTCCGACGTGGTTTAACTCAACACTGCTCCTTAGTTCATTTATTTTTAGGCTTGAAGGAAAAAAACTTTCCAAATCTGACATCTGTAGACAAGCTCATGTTTCTTATGACTGGGAAAGCCCTCTTTCCTAATCAGAGAAATCTGTCATCTTTTCCTTTGATGAAATTATCTAGAGGCTTTCCTACGTGATGCTTTACCAGCAATGGGTGCAGACATGTTCCAAACAGCCCGTGTTCTAGGAAGAACACATGTTTACAGACTCGGAGTGTTCAGATAGATTACATTGGTGGACCAGAAGTCAGACAAAAGATTATCTGGGAAATAATAGGAGGCTTAAAATGTTGTTTTTGGAATGGTTGCTAAGTCCAGCAGGAGGTGGGATAAAGTGGGCCAACAATGAAGTGTGACCACAGAGCTGCCAAGCTGGAGACCTGGCTACACAGAAAGCCACAGAGACATGTGGGCAACGTTAGCCCATTTATGAATCCCCGTTATAGCTGGAGGTTGAAGATATAAGAATATATGCATTGAAAGATCAAAGGCTTTTACTCACCTAATTAATACTCTTTTTTGTGCAAGGCAGCAGAGAAATAAAAAAGAAAGGAGGAGGAGAAGGAAGCTTCCTTTAAAATAGGTGCAGAAATATGTAGTTTTAAAATGCTGCTATTACTAACTCTACTACTAATAAAAGACACATCTACTGAAAGATGATTATTTTAGTAATAATTTTAGTAAAAACATGAGCACTGATATCGGGCATCATTGCTAGAGCTCTGACTGTCAAAGCATGGATATTATTGGATTCTCTTTCTGTCTGCCCTAATCTTTTTCTGTTCAGAATTTTTCTCGTCAAGTAAATTGATCCGTATGTCGGAATCACTCACTTCCCATGGACTTCTCTCTCGCTCTGACTCATTGTGGCAGTCCTGTGAGTACCCAAACACAGGGGAAAAAATAATTTTTTTAAAAAAAGGCAAATCCAAACTTGAGATCAAACGAGCTGGCGGAAGTCATAAAATTAATCAGCGGTCCGACCATGACCTTCTCTGTAGCTCGTCTAAACTCCCACTTTTTCCACACTCTCCAAGCAACCACTCCTTGGAGAGATGAAGATGAAAATGCCATTCCACACACAGTTGTTCTACTTTGCAAGCTTTTGGGGGTTATTTGTCACCTTCTTCAATTCAGGACCTCCCACAACATGCTGTAGGGCACACAGCACACCCGGACTCCATCTCATTCCTGGCGCCTGTCCTGGGCACCTCTGGGAACTGTTCACCCAGGGCTCTGGCTACGCCAGACCTGAAAGGTCATTCACAGGCCCCCTCTGTATGGTCCATTCAGGCCCCTGCCCTAGTCTTTGCTTAGAGACTAAATGCCCCACTTACTTACAGCTCATTTGTCACGTTCCTTTCTATTTGAAATGTTCCTTTCTGTTTTTGAGAGTTTCATAACACATCCACTGTTCTCTGATCAACTCCACCTCAACCCCTGTCCCCAGCATGCTAATCTCATGCTTCAACTTACCTTAACTACACACGCCCTCCTTACCCACCGAGCTACAGTACAAGCCCAGCTGCTTTCTAATGGAAAATTTCAAAGCTAATGCAATCCCTGTTGGTTCGGTGTTTATAACTTAATAATAAATAGATTGTTATACTGATGCACTATTAATCTAGGATGACCAGCCCAATGTTGATCTCCTTGGGGCAAGCAAGCCTCTCCTTGCCTTTACCCTCTCTCGAGCCTGCAATTCAAAAAGAAATACATAGACAGTCAGTGTTTGCTGAATTGTAAAGCAGCCCTCAGTTCTGCACATGCCCAAGGACAGACAGTCTAAGAGCCACCACCACATAAAAACAGAAAAGAAAAATGACTAAGGGTTTTATATCATCAGGGGGCTGGTATGCAAAATATACAATTCAGATAAGTCATTCTGTTTTGTTTTTAATAGAGAAATATAGAATTCCAGGAGAATGAAAAGATCCTGTCTCCAGATTTTCTCTCAATTGACCAGATCACTGACCTGCTAGAAGAAGCAGACATGGATGGAGTTCAAGAGTAAGGACCCCAGAATCTCAGTCCACTAGAGATCAGTTCTAGACCTTCATGGCTAAGTGATCACGGTGCATTATTTACACATTTTAAGCTTTTATTTCAAACTAGGTGCTACTATAGTGTTCACTAAAATATGTCAAGCCTTGAGAATACACACACACACACACACAAATGCACAGATAATTGACTGCTTGCACAGATCAGCAGCCTTTCCTGATGAGTGGCAATCAATGGAAACCTGTTAATGTTGACTAAGAGCCGCCTGTTTCTACCCTGTGCCCTCTTCTGTGTTTCTTCCATTCATGAAACTGTCAATATGTCCCATAATCCAAAGGACATCCTTCTGTCATTTACCAGTGACATCATTTATAATAAACAATGATTCCAAATTCTAGACTCTTAGGGCATGCATTTTAAAATGTAGATTGGACTGAATTTGTGACAATAATTCTAACATCACGTTGTCTGGGGTATATAGTATCATTTATATAGGTATATAGTGTCATTTATTTAGAATATTAGCCTGCTAGGTCGGTCAACATGGTTTCCTTAAAGATGACTGTTGGTGGCTAGAAAGGTGGCTTGTCGGCTAAGCTATCACCCACAGTCTAAAACAAGTTATCCCGTCCGGACATTGGTAGCACACACCTTTAATCCCAGTACTCAGGAGGCAGAGGCAGGCAGATCTCTGTGAGTTCGAGGCCAGGCTGGTCTACAGAGTGAGTTCCAGGACAACCTCCAAAGCAATAAAGAGAAACCCTGTCTTGAAAAAACAAAAACCAAAAAACAAGTGTTTCCACCTTGAAATGGAAACCTGCTTGGCTATGGAGAGTCATGTTGGGCTTGTGTGCCCTGAAATCTGATCTTCGCAAGCCAGTACTCAGGACACAAGCAAGCTGTCACAGATCATAATGAACACATAGACAATGACTCCATCGGTAGTGACAGCAGAGAGCTCTTACAAGTGCTATGGCACTGAAGTGATTTACTCCTGAGAAGGAGCTATGACAGATGTCCTGGACAGGAGAGGAATCTGAGAAGGCCTATCAGGAGTGGGCAAATAACACTGACACCTATTTCCCAAGATGCACTTCACCTCCGATGCTTGCAAGCTCTGTTGGGAAGTGATGGCAATGACTGGGTCTGACTGTCTACTGTCTGCAGTTTCCAGAGAGTCTGTCAGGGAATTAGAAATTCTCACCCATTTAAAATGATTTCTCATAACACTTTTTACCATTTCTACAGAAAAAAGTATTTATTGGGAAGGCTGATTCTTAGTGTAAGAACTGATTAAAAAAACAAAACAAAAAACCATGTCACAGATAAATCTCCGTGCCTGAGTTTGAGGCCTGACCTACATAGTAGAATGAACTCCAGTAAGTTGTTCTCTGTCTTCTGTACATGTGCTACAGTGTGCAGGCATCCCCCCCAACCATACACACAAAGGGCAAACAAATAACAAATAAATCCAAGCAATTTTAATATCTGATTAAAAAAGTCACTCATGGGGTTAATAACGTACATAGTGATTTTAGGTAAAATGGTTTTTCCCACTTGCATGTCACTATATGAAAATGATTGATCTTTGTCATACAAAGCTGTAGTCAGTACTAAGTAATGGTAATACAGTGCAAGTGACAGGTATTTAATCCAACTTCTGATTTACTTTTAATGACTAGTACATAAAATGTCAACATTAAAAATACCAAACATTTAGTATTTAATAGTAATTCGTATTAAATAACATGTTAGTTTCTAGAACCGTGCGATTTTACTACATTGTAAGTTGTGCTGTAGTTATGTGCCTACTTTGTAGAGCACAATGTTTCTCAATTATTGACTGTCCTTCGGGGTCAAATGTCCAAATTCAGAAAATACTTTTATGCACCAGGGGCGGGGGGTGTATGTGGAACAAAGCATGGACACAGCCCGCCAGTGTTGAGACAGTCAGAGAAGGACTGGGCAGAGCCACACAGCCAGGGACAAGGGCATATGCTGACCACCAGTTCATAGCCAGTCTGGTTTTCAGAGCACATCCAGAAGAGCCAGGGCTGCCTGGCCAGATACAAAGACACAAACAAAACCAACACAACACAACACAAAACTTAGCAGCCTAGGAGACACGTAAAACAGCCTCGTCAAAAAAAGCCAGCTGACATCTCTCCAGTGAACCAAAAGATCACATCAAGGAATCACATGTAGAATTCTGGGACAGCTTTATCTTAGGAGCCATTTTCTTGAGTCTTTAAATATAATTTCTGTAACAATAATCTACATGTATTTGCAATCATTTTCAATTTAAAACAGCATTATTGTAAGGGATGGCTACATATTGTTCAAGAAGACAGTAGTATAATTTAATTATCCTCTCCCAAGTGACCAAAATAGTCCCAGATCATGCAGTTTGAAAAGCTATAAGCCTACTTAAATAAATTACAACAAATCACCATATTTCCCTACATTTTACAATTATGAATCTTTTTCTCTATACCAACAGGCAACCCAAGAAACATGAAGGATTATTCAAAATACATTCTGAAATAGACTTCACATGCCTGGTGTTCTTTTCATGACTTTCTAATGTATGCTATCAATAATATTTTATTTATGTGCAACTCAGCAGTACTTACAAATCTACCCCAAAGTTTCATTTAAAAAAACAGAGAGAGAGGTCTGCAGAAATGGCTCAGTAGTTAAGAGCACTGGCCTGTTTGCACAGAGGACCTGGGTTCAATTTCCATCACCCACATGGCAGATAACTACCATCTGTAATTCTAGTTCCAGGAGATTGGATGCCATCTTGCAGCTTCCCTCAGGTATCAAACACATAAATAGTGCTCGGATGCACATACAAGCAAAACACCTGTACAAATAAAATGAAAATGAAAATGAGTTTTTTTTAAGTCTTTAAAAATGGTCACATGGAGCTTTGGTTTTGTTTGATTGCGTTTTTGGAAACATAGTCTGACTCTTGTCATCCAGACTGGCCTCAAGTTCAAGGGAACACCTCTGCCTCAGCTTCTCAAGTGCTGGGCTCTAGGTTGTGCACGACCACATCAGGTCTGTCAGTGCTTTCTAGTACCTTTTGGTAGCCAGACCTCCCTGAGCTGCTTAACTGGTCTGCACCATAAGTGTATACATGCTGATACACTTCAGACGGGGAAGGCTCTCCAAGTTTTAGAGCATGAAGGAATGATGAATGATGAGATGGTTTTGCTGACACTCTTGATGAGGCAAAGCAAATAGTTCCATCACCTCTTGCCATGTCAGAATGTCCTGAGATGCAACTGAGTCCCTCTCCCTTGGGTGCATCAGCCCACCCACACTATAGCTGTGGCTCTCCTCACCCTCCCTTTTTCTCTCTCTCTCTCCCTCTCCTTCTCTCCCTTCTCCTTTCCTCTCCCCCTCTTCCTCTCCCTCTCCCTCTCTCCTGTTCCCTCCCTATGACCAAACTGTCCAGCAGAAGGCACAGAAACTGTGTTCCAGCAGGGACAGTGTCTTGCTCTACATGATTTCCCATATCACTTCCTCTGGAGTGAAATGACGGGAGGAAGAATAGAATCTGTGAATACTAAGCCCGGAGGATCAAGTCAAGAGAGAGAGCCCACTGGCACTAGGGGGAGAGAGGGAGGGAGAAAGGGTGTCTGTCAAAGCTGGGGTAGAGGGAGGTCATGGAGGGGTCACCAAAATATGCTTGAAAAAGTTGTTGAGTTCATTCAAACACAAGCAATAAAAAAATAAAAACAAAGAACACATACAGGTACTGAGGTCAAATATTTACTTAAGAATACACAGAATACAGATGGCAGATGAAGAGAAAGTTTAACGAAAAATCAACAGAAGTGACAGAAACCTTAACCAAAAGCTCATGATTAAAGGCTGGATCAATTCCAAACCAAGAGATCAGGACACCGGTAAGATCTGTACATAAAGGAACTCTCTGAGATAAAAGAAGATACCATGCATAAAGAATGAAACTAATGTGGAATCTGCTTTGCTGAAAATGAAGTCAGTGACAACAGAAGATAAATGTAAGGAAACCCATAGCAGTGCATGTATATCAACTCCATGGGAGGGTGTTAGGTCACACATGCTCTGTTTTCCCGTTTCAGTGTAATGGAACTGAAGCATTTCATCGTGCCCAGCATAAAATGACCCAGGGACAAAGAGCAGGCAGGCCCTACACAGTTCCCTGTCAGGAATGGTCAGCAGCTTTCTGAGGAACAGACAAGTCATCAAAATCTGGTTCATGGAAAGAATGTGACTTCAGGATCAAATTCAAGCAGGGATTGTTCAGGAAAGTTTTATACAAAGAACTCAAAAAAAAAACTCAGAGTCCTGTGATTTAATTGAAAAATCGACCTATTACCTCAGGAAAGATTCATCAATTCATTGATGCATATAACGTAACAATAACAAGAAAACTGCCAACCAGAATTGTGATCCTGAAAAAATAAAAATGAAAAATTCCTGGCAGTAAGCACAAGATTCATTTGAAATTAAAATAAAGGCAAACAGGATAATTATAAACTAGAACAACTATTCTAGAACATTCTGGTAAAAATAAGTATGTGCAGGAGGGGGAAATAACCCAATTTCTTCCTTTCACAAAAATAAAACAATTTCAGAATGCTTTGTAAAACTGCATCCCAAATTAAAAAAAAAGGTCAATAGTTCTCATCACACAAAAAGTTCTTAGAAAATCATTGGTAAAAGCAATCAGTAGAGTTGGGGAGATGGCCAGAGTGCTTACCCTGCTGGCATAGTGACTGAAATTAAGAGCCCCAGCAACTATGTTAAAGCTGGTCAGTCGTGGCGGCGGCTGCCTATAATCCCAGTATTGGAGGCAGATAGTGGATCCCAGGGCAAGCTGGCAAGTGGTCCTCTGACCTCTATGCATGTGCACAGAAACACATTAAAAATTTTTAAATGGATGCAGATACAGAAATACTATATGTATACACATATACAAAAGTACATTAAAAGGTATATATTCTAAGTAATGTCACTATCAAACTCAATTATGAAGTCAACTTGCTTCAGATTCTCCTGTTATATGATATCTTATATAAAGATGACAAGATGACTGCCAGGGGCAATCAAAGCTACTTATTTACTACTTGTTTTTTACAATGGAAGAAAAGCTAGCTTGTCCTTATGAATTAATAAAGTAACAAGGCACCCACAGAAAAGCCCTTCTCTAGACCAATTTCATAGGCTTGACAGCGTTGTCTGCCATGGTGGGAAGGGGAGGGGAAGGGAGATGAAATGTTTGTTTAAAAATCACTGGACCTCATGTAGGGTCTGTGGTTTCTCCTGATAAAACTGTGTTTGAGATGGATGTCGATTTGTTACACACATCAAAAAAACACTTTAACTTCTAAACTTGTATTAATTATCATTCATTCGACTATGGCGAAGAACAAGGGAACCCATTTGAAGACAGTGGGGTAAATTTGTCACAAACATCCCATCTCCCAGCTCATCCCAAGAAATCACATACAAGCAACCTGGAAAACCAATGAAGCCATTGTCAAGACAGAAGGATGCTGCAGGCCAAGCCATGAACTTTGAAGGTGATCCCCACAATTGTCACAGATCAGCTGGCTGTGCAGGAGACAGTTTGAGAGAGAAACACACAGCTACAGGTTTTAGGACGAAGGGAAGGTACAGGATACTTCCTGGAAGAGAAAACCCTAGATGCCATGCTATGATTCCCCATTTGCAGTGCAGGACCTGGGTGTGCAGGAATGGGGTACACATATCTGTATTACAGGCTGTTTATGTCAGAATAAAATGAGTCTATTATTTTTTTATCTCACTAATCAAAACAGAAATAAACGTTAGAAGAACTGACAGGAAGTAACTCCACACAGGAAATGCCTCTGAGTTGGTTACCAGGACACAGCAAGTACCAACCACTTTGTATCAGGGCACAGGAAGTAACTACCAGTGTTGATATAAAGATGCAGGGAGCATCTAATATAGTTTGTATCATAGGCAGGTCTCCACATCCAATTCATTTCCTGCAAGCAGCTGTCCACTGTTTAAAAATAACTAACACGTGAAGACTGTGCCTGCAGAGACAGTGATAAGACATAGCACAGGACAAAGTCACCATCAGAAAGATGTGAGCAGGGGCACGCACAGGAAACAGAGGGCAATGACATGCCACAGATTTCGAAAACTTACGGAGCAATAGCAACAAGAGCACAGAACAGTCTTTTAACAACTGGAGGAAGAGATGGCAGAAAAGAAGAGACTAGAAACATCAGAAGAAAAATGTGGAAAAAGAAAGATATAACAGCAGCTCAGAGAAGGAATAACCGCTTAACCTATCCTGAGAGAGAAGAAGTCATAAGAGTTAAACTCAGGGAAAGGATGGTTGGGAAAAAATTAAATGTATCTGACAGAAAGTCAATGAAAGATGCAAGGATTGTTTTCTTTGCAGAGGAAATAAAAAGAACAAAATAGTTGACAATCTGTTGTCAGAAATGGATCAAACTAAAGCAGTAGCTTGCTCTGTAGAGAGGTCCTGGATGGAGGTGAGGCTGAATTGGTAGGAATAGTACCCAGTTGTTCTGCCTGTCTCTAATCCCAGAAACAGCAATGGGACTGAGGCTGGGGAATCAGGAGCTCAAGGTCGTCTTTGGCTGCATAGCAAGTTCCAGACTAGCCTGAACTGCGTGAGGCCTGTCACACAAAATAGGAAGGGGTATTGAATTTTGAATTTCAGGAGAAAAAAATACCAGGTATTGACAGTATGAGAAGTGGATACAGAGAGAAAAGAATTAAGACGGGCCTGGGGAGCACCCTCCCATCCATCCCCTGCTATTCTTCTCCTTCCTGTCCTTCCCCCTCCCCCTTTCACCTTGCAGATTCTGACATGACTGAATACTTTAAGGTGAAAAGCATTCTAGAATTTTCATTAAACTAGTTGCCTCCAAGACTTCTCGGGACTGTTTGCTACTTAATCCTATTTAATGTCTGCATTTTTCTTTTTTGTCACAGAAAAATGAGAGTGTTTCTGAATTTTAAAGATCTCCAGACTTGCTTAAGAGACGCCATTCTCTTAGACTACTATGTGTCCGGGTTCTTTTGGGCCAAAAACATGAACTTTTCCATCGACCAACATTCAAAATTCATGACTTTGCTGGACATGTTACTGCATAATCTTCAAAGTAAGTCTAGTCCCCCTCTCTTGTTTTAAAGGGGTGGGGGACACAGTCCGTGTAAATTAATATTCTAAAGCCAAGATGCTTGCTTCTTTGTGCTTCCTTTAATGAGAACTGCCGGTTTGTTTCCTGGATACAACAGGGTCAGCTCATTTCTCACTGAATGATAAATCCTCAAAGATCCTTAGTAAGAATAAGGTTCTCTTTGTTGATTCGCCAAAGTTATTCTAATTAGTATTCCCTGCACCAATCACATTCCAAATACCATAGGATATGCTGTCATCTTTGTAATTTTCTACATATCCCATACGGTGGTGAAACCTGAACATGATTTAATCTATCTTAAAAGTAGAATACAGAGCAAAGGGTAAAATGAGGAAGCTCTCTGTATATTGTGTGACAAGACTCCATATTAGCAGATCGTGAAAAACTGTGCACCTGTGTTTATAAAAGATAAAAACTAGAATGTGTGTTTGTATTTGTGTGCATACAGGAGAGCATAAGATTACAGGGGAAAAAATATGAATAGTCTGTGAAGCCAGGCATGGAAGGAGGCACACATTAGAATCCTAGTACTTGGGATCTGGAAGGTTGGGGGAGGGGTGGGATTGAAAATCTAAGACAAACCTAACACACAGCAATAATGGGTCTTAATTTAAAAAAGAAAGAGAGAAAAGAGAGAGAGAGAGAGAGAGAGAGAGAGAGAGAGAGAGAGAGAAAGGATGTAAGGAAGGAAGAAAGGAAAGAAAGAAAAAGAGAAAGAAAGAAAGAGGGAAAGAAAGGAAGAAAGAAAGAAAGAAAGAGGGAAAGAAAGGAAGAAAGAAAGGAAGGAAGGAAGGAAGAAAGGAAAGAAAGAAAGAGAGAAAGAAAGAAAGAGGGAAAGAAAGGAAGAAAGAAAGAAAGAGGGAAAGAAAGGAAGAAAGAAAGAAAGAAAAAAGGAAGGAAGAAAGGAAAGAAAGAAAGAGAGAAGGAAAGAAAGAGGGAAAGAAAGGAAGAAAGAAAGAAAGAAAGAGGGAAAGAAAGGAAGAAAGAAAGAAAGAAAGAAAGAAAGAAAGAAAGAAAGAAAGAAAGAAAGAATTCTTCTGGGGAGGATGTGGAAACTGAGGTGTGAGCAGTGAGGCCTAGAGAAAGCCTTGTAGGTCAGATCTGCATATCAAGCAAAGCTTGAAAATGTCAGCCATCTGAAAATGAAAGTTTCAAAGGACTTTGATGTGGCTGCTCTAAGCAGCACAACTTCTGAGCGGGAGGTGAACATTTTCAAGAGCTTCACAGTCCGAATTGGAGCGACTATTTCCAGTTTACACCTTTCCCACACCCCCCAACCTCCAGGTGGCTTTCAGCTGAGCTTTGTGTGGTTGGTATCGGTTCGAACCTGCACTTCTGAGCCAGGAGAGAGTGAAAGTATATGTGTAAAATGAGGGGAGAGCAAACATGATCATGTACACCTCTGGTCAGAAAAACAAACAAAACAACAACAAACGTCCTCAGCCATTCAAAGGAAGTACATTGTGAGCAAAAAGCACAGCTTTGACTGGTTGACACAGCAAGGAATTAAAGTGTTTGCAGTCAAACCAAGGGACCATGGGATCCTGAAGATGAAGTCACTCTGTACGCCACCATAGCTCCAGCCACAGAACACATCCCAGGTTCATGGTTGTCAAATGGTCCAGTCCACAGGACACCCACTTTTGGACAGGTAGGTTTCAGACTTGGTCCTTGTCCCAAATCTGTGTCGTATGCCTACAAGACATTCTGCAGAGTGTTCACCTAAAATCAAACTGGATCATCTCGAAGATATAAAGTACAGTTTGGAGACTTATCTTAAGATTACGTTTTTACTCTTCAGTGGTTTGTGCCCACTGAAGGCAGAAAATACTGCTGAAAAAAAACCACATCTATTCAACAAGTTCAGATTTTTCATTCTTGTCTGCATTCCCTGAACAATGAACAACATTAAATAATTTATGCATTGTTATTCAGAGAGAGAGAAATAAGATTCAGATCATTCTTTAAGTTGACATGAAGACAACTTCAGCAAACAAGGGTCTATCCTGGCATGGGGAGAACCTAGAGCAAACAACAAAGATACTACACTAGAAATCAGTGCACATGTGATAAATGAGAAATGATACATTCTAGGAAAAGCTCATATATAGAGCCATTCATATGTAGTGGGTCAGAAATGGGTGCATGAAAGGAAAAACGCATATGTAAAAGGATATGGGTACACACTAGGAAGGCACATATGTGAAGGGCCAGAGAGCACCACACACTGTGACCAGCACATGTGGAATACTCTTCACACACTGTGACCAGCACACGTGGATTACACTTGAAGCAGGTTCTCAGTAGAAATAGTATGCACATAAGAGATGAAAAGTATGGTACACCTTGGAAGCAAAACATTCTTAGTGGAATACAAACTGGTACTCACTGAGGTGTTGTAGGAATCATTGCCTAGAAAGATCACACACAGGGGTTTCTGTGCATTTCCAATTTGTCCACCACAGCAGCACCATCATCTTGGATGCAGGAGTTCTCGTTTAAGGACAAAATGGTGAGACCAGTGACCTGGCTAGCAAGTGCCTTTACCTGATCCCACCCCAAGTTTTCTAGCTAGTTTATAAATCCAGGGTGTCCTTCCTCGCCTGAGTTTCCCAGAGTGCATTTGGTTTGGTCCCTCCCCGCCTGGTCACTCCACTTGTGGGACTTCAGTTAGCTAAGAGAAAGGCTATCACCTCTCATTTTCAAAGCAATTATCTCCAGTAAGCCAGGAGGCTCCACTAAAACAGTCCTAAAGAGTCAGCCATCGGTCAGTAGAAGCTACAGTCTCATAAACAGATGCAGTCTGTGTTTGAGAACCACAGTTCCATCTAGAATTCAAATCAATAGTTTAAATAACCATTTTCTCTGCATCTCCAATTAATGAGTTTGATTTTCTATTTATTATGAGTTGCTCTTATCGTATTCATCTTTCCTTCCCAAATTCCCTTCAACTGTGGGGGTTGCTTCTAAGGTTTATTGTGAAAAGAGAAATGCACAGTTGGAGTGTGTTTTACCTGGGATTGCAAACAAAAGGCTCTCATCCTCCAGTTCTGTGTGACCCAGGTGACAATCATGATCTGTAGGATGGCTTGACTGTGTAAGAATTCCCCCTGGTAATTTCTGGGTACTGCCCTTTAAAGGGCTCCCTCTGGCACCAGGCATATTTACTGCAGTGCTCAGTGGGGTTCAATTAAAATTTTTCCTAATTGCTTCAGAAGAAAATTTGAACAAAATAAATCATAAGCTAGTGTTTGTCTGTAATCACTTATATCAGTGATTCTGACATCCAGTGCATGTCAAACATGCATTCCAGAGAAAGGGGCCAGGCGCCTGGCTCAGCTCCTCTACATGTGGCTGACCAACCACCAGTCTGTATTCTCATAATTAGTCTTTGTCTCCTGCTCCATCCTACACTATTCCATTGTAGTACTTGAAGTAGGATGTTTACTGATGGCTTCTTATGAGATCTTCAGCTTTGCCATGCAGCTTTCATGAATAATCATAAACAATTCCTGCAAGCCATCAGCCCAGCACTGGAAGCTGAGAGTCACCTCTCCTGACATCAGCCCACACACATTGTTTCAAGACCTTTCAACTCGCTGCCTCCAATCGCCTCTGTTCTGTGTGCCTGCCTACCCACTGGTACCACATCTGTGCATGCCTACCCACTAGGTCAGGAAAGACTTTCTGGATATTCCAGGTGCCTGTATCCACTCTCCAAGGCAGGAGGGGAGAGGGCATAGAAATTATAAATGATATTGTCCTTGCCACAAGAAAAACCAAACACAATCAACCAATCAAAAACGACAATAGATATTTATATTTCCACCAAAGACACCACAGAATTAAGACTGAGGTTGTTAATATTTGTTTCACTTTCAGCTGGACAAGTGTCACAGGAAATAGTCTGTGGAGAAATGTTGCTGCTTTGTTGCATACATGCGAGTTTTGCTGTTGTCTATACGTAGTTTTCTGAGAATCTTCTAGAACCACCAAGTTGCTTGTGGGTCACAGTGAGGAAGTTGTGTCATTTCCACACAGGTTTGACAGCCTCTCAAAGGCAGATGCTTAACACACAGGTTATGTAGCTTTGAAGTCTTCAATGGTGGTGATATTTAATACAAAGATTCCTATTTTCAATATAGACATTTAAAGGGCTGGTGAGATGACCCAGCAGGTAAGAACACCTGCCACCATGCCTGATGACCCAAGTTCAGTCCTTGGCAACCCACAGGTGGAAGGAGAGAACCTGTTCTCTGAAATTTCACTCTTACCTACACACAAATCAGGTGATACAGAAAGAGACATAAAATAAGTAAAATGTAAACATAAATATGGAAAATTTGAAAATATTCAAATATTTGACTCTTATCCAAAAAATCTTCTGGCCAAGTTTTCACATGGTAATACCAAGTTATAGCCAAGAAACTGGGGACTCTACTCATTAACTTCCCCAATGAGTTCAAAACTGAAGTCCACAGTGGCTGAACTGTGATCTGTCTCTCCTTGCCACCTATGGTGGCCAGCTTTTCTCTGATTTTTATATATCCTTCTTTTGTCCCTGAGAATCTGCTTTAAAATTTATCTTTCAATTTAAAAGTGGCATTTAAATAGATATTGGTGGTTTTGCATTTTAAACTGGAAACAAATTGTCTGTCCAGTCAACCATGTGCATATGTGATCATAATGATGTCCTACACTGGTTCAGGATTCATCCGAAGTGCAATTGTTAATTTGTTGTAAAGAAACAATAAACCTTTTCTCTCCACAAAGGATGGAGAAAGGATATTTTGGACTACTGTACCTCCACAACAGCTATCGAGATAATGGAAGGGCTTTCTGGCTTTGCTTTCAGCACTCCATATGTCCTTAGAGGACAGCATCAAGTGGCTTGGGGAAGTGATGGCAGAAATTGGACCTAACCATTCACAGAAGAATGAGGAGTTGCATATCTTTGATGTCAGAGAAGCCAATGCCATCATCGATTACTTAAAAATCAGGTAGGACTTGTATTCATCCCATTTATCTTCCATTTTGTGTCTCCTAGAAAACACCTACTAAAGATAACTTAAGAGTTTAGTAAATTCAGATGGCTGTAGAATTTATGCAACAACTACTCAATAAGCAGATAACAGTCAGGCTGCAGAGATGGCTTGGTGAGTAAAGGCGCTTGCCATCAAGCCCTGGTGATCTGAGTTCCATCCCTAGGAACCACATAGTAGAAAGAAAGAAAAATATAACTCCTCCGAGCTGTTCATTGACACATGGTAGTGGAACAGATGTACCCTCACACCCACAAGAACACAAAATTAATTTTGGGGGGGTTTGAGACAGGCTTTCTCTGTGGTTTTGGAGGCTGACCTGGATCTAACTTTTTTTTTTTTTTGGTTTTTGCAAAACAGGGTTTCTCTGTATTGTTTTGGAGGCTGTCGGTCCAGCCCGGCCTTGAACTCACAGAGATCCGCCTGCCTCTACCTCCCGAGAGCTGGGATTAAAGGCATGCACCACCAGCCAAAATTAATTTTTCAAAGTAGAGAATATCCAATTTTTCCATCTAACAAAGGAAAGTGAGGGCTTGAGCATTTGTCCCACTCAACTGGCATTTGTAAAGATGGCTCCTGAATGACACTGTGACTTCTGCTGGCCTATAACCACTACTGGGGATTGTCTTTCTTCGCTGAGTCTGGAACTAAAAGCATTTTATCAACAGAACTGAATCGAGTTATAATAGATCTCTATTTTAGGTAGCTGGTCTATCCAAGGAGTTACATTTATATTTTCAAGAGTAACATTCATTTCCACTTAAAAGTTGACTTTGCATGATTTGTGTTTACAATGAAAGAGCTATACGTCCTTATGGCAAAGGCCTATAATCCTAGGAGGGGATGCTAAGGCACTACAGCATGAGTTCAAGGTCAGCCTAAGCAAATTAGTGAGACCTTGTCTCAAAAGTACTTTCAAAAAGGATTCAGGATGGACCTCTTTAGTAAGGTGTTTGTCCCTACCAATCATGAGGTTATATGCTCTATCCCCAGTACTGACAAAAAAATGAAGAGAGTCCCATGCTTCATCAAATCTAATAAATGCCCTAACTTATTTTGAACTAATGGGCAGTATAACTTGTTACCAACTCTTTCTTTCTAAGAAAATGGTGGTGGACAGAGTGGAAGTATTTTTATAACAGTGACTCTTTATCACTGTAGCAAGAAATCTGTCTCCTTCCTTTTGCCTGTGTATATGTAGTGTGCATGGGTGTTTGCTTATATAGGAGCACACTTGTGTATGAAGCTACACATGTGTGCAAATGTGTTTGGAGGCTCAAAGTTGATTCCAAGTGTCTTCCTCAACTGCTCCCTGCTTCATTTATTGGGACGGACTCTCTCATTCTAACCCAGGACCCTCTGATTCAGCATATTCTAACCCAGGACCCTCTGATCCAGCATATTCTGCTAGACAGCTTGTCCCTAGGAAACCCTGTCACCAATGGGATCAGTGGTGGTTCACCATGCCTACTCAGCATTTGTATGGGTGATCAAGATCTGAATTTTGGTCCTCAGGTGTGCACACCTAGTACTGAGCCATCTCCCAGCCTAATTTTGCTTCACAGAACCTGTTACAAAGTATGTGTGAGAGGTATGCCTCTCGCCAAAGAGACATTTTTAGACTTCACAAATCTCGGGGCACCAGTAGGTGAAAATCTGCCTCTACCTATGTCTTCCTGCATAGTCTCTTTGCTTTGCTTTTCAACTGTGTCTCCATTATTTCCCAAATTACAATTAGCATGCTTCAACACAGAGGGCCACCTGATGTCCTACGCTGGCAAGATTCACTTGACAAAGTTCCTGGTTGTTGTCTGGAATGTTAGTGTGTTTAATATGATAAAGCTTGTATCCTGACTTCTGGAGTGGTTTAACAACGGCATGGGATACAGCACTTTTTGTAAGATAGCCTTTAATACAGTGCGATTCTTCTAGTACAAAACATGCTTGCTAGTATGTGAGTCTCACTGAAAAGCATGCAAGTTTTCATAGCTTTTAGAGTAGAACAAGTTCCTCCAGTGGGGGAAGAGGAGGAAACACGCAGAAACCTGTGTCCCCTGACCCCAGGCTGGGTAGATGATGGCTCTCTGGGTAAAACACCTGCTGCAGAAGCCTAGAGACCTGAGTTCAGATTCTTAGAACCCACAAAATGCCAGGTGTGTCTGTAAGCCCAGGACAGACACATAGGAGGTGGTGGGTGAAGCTCCTGCCCGAAACAGTCACCCTGGCCTGTGCAGTAGTGAACAAGAAACATCAGACAAGATCGAGCATGTTGAGCATGGTATGGGGAGGGAGAGGGAGCTGGGATTAACATAAAAAGCAGGCTTGTAAGTAAAAAATTAAATTAAATAAAATAATAAAAAAGAAAGACCCCATTCTAGAACAAGGTGAAAAACGAAAGTGGAGATCAACACCTGAGTTTGTTTTCCCACCTCTACCACCCACCAATGAATGCATGAACACACACACACACACACACACACACACACACACACACACACACACACACACACACGCACGCACGCACAGGCACAAGCAAACACAGGAAAATCTGTGCCTTGAGGTCCTTCTGCCCCTAAGGGCCTGAGATTCCCTGGACAGGGGAAGTCATCCATGCACGTTTGCTCTGGCCTCCCTCTTCATCTACACATGCCATTCTGTTCAGGAAGGACACATTTTTACAGCTAAACCCTAAGCCCAGGTTTATAATGTAAATGGGGTCCCATAGCTAAGCATAGCAGCAAAGCCTCCACACATGCCACAGTGTCCCTTTTCTGACAGTGAGGGACAAGCTCCTTTCCCTGTCTCAACTCATCTCTCCAGGCAATGTTCATCAATGTATATCTTAATAGCTCCACAGGCCCGGTCTCAGATCTCCTAATAAAAAGAATATTTAAAGAGATTAGTTAAATACAGAGGATCCAGATGTAATGCTGTTAAATCTCCACATTGTGATTGGAGAGTAACTATGCATTTAAATATAGTTATTACACAAGGAATAAAGTACCAGTGATTAGGATATCTGGAATTGACAATGAAGCTGTGTGAGGCAGTGTGAGCCTTTCCACAAGTGTTCAGAAGCCTCGTGGGTGCACAAATAGAAATTTAGCAGCAGTGAAACTGCGCAACAAATTCATTTCAATAATTATTAAGTTTTATAAAGATGGAGATAACTAAACTATCAAAAGTATGTGAGCTTCACTTTTGCCCTCAGCATCTGTTGATACAACCACTGAAAGCCATCCCCAACTTAAGAGACGAAGTTTTTCCGACCATGTCATATGGCGTGTGCATTACATGACTATTCCTGGAGAGGCGTGAACAAATGCCTGTCCACCCCCAGAGAACACACAGACAGACCAAAGACATAATTCTGCCCAGACCCAGCTGAGTGAAATAATGGGTTTATTAGAATTACTTCCAGAAGCATGGGTGAAAGACAGCTGAACCACCCCCACCCCCACAACCAGCATGGATGACAACCCATGTAAGCCACATCCTTTGATCTCCCCGAAGAACTCGACAGGTAGTTTTGTCAGTGACTTGTCCCTCTCTGGAGACTGCTTCGTTCTTGTACAGCCTTATACAGAGTGAGGCCTCTCAATCTTGTCATTTCTGGGCTTCTTGAGTCCCTGGTTTTAGGATCTTTTCCACTTCATAAGTCTTATTGTCATCCTAAGTCTTGTAAAACCCTCCTTCCAGAAGGGAAGGTGGCACTTAGGAGGAAATAGTCATACAGCAATATAAAACTTAACCTGTCAATACAATTACATTTCATATACTTTCACTTTTAGTCTAGATATATTTATACCTGTGGTCTGAAAACACTACTACCAAAATTTCTTCTTAACATGAGTATGGGGTACTACTGCTGTCTGCTTATACAATCTAAACAAGTACACACACACACACACACACACACACATACACACATGCATACACACACACACACACACACAGAGAGCTACCTGCTTAGGCAATCTAAATAATATAAAATGCATACATTTATAAATTCAAATGTTGTTTACCCATTTTTTTATTGAGTGTTCTTTTTCCCTGAGAATCACACATATCCGCCAAAAGAAAATCTGTCCCTACTTAGATTAACAATTATGGGGTAATTACTTAAGTCAGAGCTAGCCAGGAAGAAACAAGCAAGGCCAACAGCTTCATAATTAAAAAAAAAAAAGAAAAAGAAAAAGAAAATCTGTCCCATCCCCACTTTGTGCCAAACAGTGTGTGACACTGGGCCAAACAGTTAGGACCATTTTTTTTTTTTTTTTTGGTTTTACGAGACAGGGTTTCTCTGTATTGTTTTGGAGGCTGTCGGTCTAGCCTGGCCTCGAACTCACAGAGATCCACCTTCCTCTGCCTCCCGAGTGCTGGGATTAAAGGCGTGCGCCACCACCATCCCGCAGTTAGGACCATTTTTATTCCATCTTACTTCAAGGTCTAACCTGAGAGTTGGACAACATCACCTAAAAACTTGAGTCAGACAGAAGTGCAATGGGAGATATGCCAAATGTCTGTCATGGCTGAACTGTCACTTGATTCTCAGACCCATATCAGTCCCACCCCCTACCCCCGGAGAAGCTGGAGGGTGCAGAGAGACAGGGAGGGAACTTGGCCTGTTCCTTGGAAAGTGTCCCCGTAGGTATCTTCCCCTGGGTATACAACATGGTCCTGGTTCCAGCCCCAACTACTTACTGCATCTTTGACCATCATATCCAAGTCATGGATGCTGTTTTCATTGCTTACGTTCTTTCTTGGCAGACATGGGACAGCCCTATCTCTTTGTATAACAAGGACACAAAAGACTGAAAGATCATGACATTTCATAGTGGAATCGTTTTGTCCTATGTTCCATGTCTAGCACAAGATGGACAAAGTAGGAGACTTCTTTTTGTTTTTTTGTTTTTTTTTTTCTAGTTCATTTACAGGAGAGCAAGCTGCTTCCCAAATATGGCCTTTGAGTTTTAGACTCCCAAATCAGCTATTGTCAGTGTGGTTATTTTTGATCCTACAGTTCTCTCTCTAGGTCACCAATACAAAGGAGGGGTGGGGAAACTGAATTTATTTTGCTTCGGTTATTTATCAGACTTGGCTAATCTTCCTGTGTTTTTCTAGCCAACAGATCAAAGTAATGTCAAAAGCTAAGTTAGTCTTGTGAATGTTGATGAGTAAATCAAGTATTCAATGGCTGCAGAGAAGAAAGCAAACTTGACTGGGCCCACACAGTCACTACTCTTTAATGGACAGAGCTCCCAGGGAGGCTCCACTGCTAATGTAACTCAGAGGGGCCCAGCTGCCTGAGGATTTCTTCATTGATTTCAAATGAATTGAAACTTTGATCCATTACAGCATCCAGGAGAAACCATTATTACACATGCTCTGTAGCTACATTCTTGCAAATGTTAATTTCTCAGTTATATTAAAATCAATTTTCTTAAATAGCAGAAGGCACCAGAGTGAAAGAGAACCACTAAGACTTTTTTTTTGTTCTTCAGCATTTTGCTGTATTATGAGTCTATTAATTTTCCCAACCAGCAGGAAGAGAATTAGAAAAACTCAAATATTATCACAAACAGGATATTAAAAGTCAGTCCTTCAGTAACATTTTTTAACACAATGATACATCGCCAAGCTCTTAACTTACTAGAAACATTTATTTGCAAGTGCATGTTACTTTGAGCTCTTGTAGTACATAGTCACTGGCCACCTAGTCAGCCTGTGATGTGTAACCACTCATCCTGCAGGAAAGTCGGACATCTTAAAAACCAATTTTAGGCCTTGCCAAGTCATTTTTCTGGTGTTCTTAGGGATTGATTTAATCTTGAAACATTTTGGCAATGTGTGCCATAATGGCTATAGAAACCCAGCCGGGTTCATACCAAGACCGAGTTGGGTCTAGTACAAAGAACAGCCGATGGCGAGACTGTGTAGCTGCCTGGGGCGTGTGGGGGCCCGGAGGGTTGCTATGTTTCTCCACCTAGACGCCCCCCATCTTGTGTCACAGATAGATCTGCTGTCACTTTCCTAAATTCTGTGCTGTTCTGTATGGCCCTATCAGTGTCCCAGAAAGCAAAACATGAATCTCCCTGAATTCCCAGGCAGCTTTCTCTGGAATGCAGGAGATGGGTTTCTGTACCTCTGTGGACCATCTCCGGCTTGGCCAGTCCCCCTCTCCTCTGAGTCACACCTTCAGATCTTCCTCTCACACTAGCTGCATGTCTGTTTTGTGTTTCAGCTTATTCCAGCACTACAGGCTCTACGAGTTTATGTTCTACTCGACCAGGGAAGAAATTGTCATCGGAACCGAGGTAAGTAACCTGGGGCAGAGGCTGAATCACTTAGCCTATTTGAATCCGGGAAGTGCTCAAAGCAACTTCTGGTCATGACTGTACAAGCGCAAATATAACCAAGTAGTGATGTAAAAAGAATAATTAAGTCAGGTGAGCTTCCGTTCAAGAAAATAAGCTCATTGGGTGATGAGAATACCCGCCGTTAATCACGTATTTAGGCATCAGTGGATTGTTTGATGAGGCTCCCCTGAGTAGGGTTCTCATGTTTTCATCCAAACAAAATCAGGAAACCTCTTTTCTGATTTTGCATTTTTCCCTCAGCTCTTTTTTAAAGCCAGCATCAAACCTCACTTCTCCACCAAAGCAAGCTTGCACTCATGGCATTGTGTTTCCAACAAAGGATTTGGGCTCATTCACTAAACACGGCCTCTAAGGGTTTCCTCTTAATTTCAACTGATCTCCTCTTGCCAAATTTTGGCTCTGGTTACACAAACATTCCATCATCCTGTGGATTTCTCAGTGTTTCCTGTGGGTTCGTACAGGCAAGCAACCCAACAGGAATGTCCCTGAAAGAGAGGGTCATCTGCTACTCTTCTCTAACATGTGGCAGCCTGTAGCATCTTGCAGGACACAGTACTTCTGAAATTAATCCTAATCAACCAATTAGGTGACAGAAGGAAGAAGGGAGGTTTTGCGGTAAATGGTCTACAAGGAGATGAGGGAAACTTCTCAGAGAAGTCACACAGGGGTAGCTTCTGGGACTGAACCCCGAGTGGAGAACCAGCTCAGTGAGATGAAGATGTTATGGAAGGTGCTCCCAAGAGCTCTCCATCTCCTTCACCAGAAGGACAAGGGACAGGCACAGTCATGGCTAGAAAAATGGAGAGGAGACCTCACCATCTACCCACCTTTCCTCAGATTAGACACCAAGTGGAATGAATCTAACCCTGTCTCATCTACTTAGGAAAACTTAGGTGGTGACCATGTTGCAACATTAGCAGATGTTTAGATCTAGGAAAAGCATGTCACAGAGTTGTTCTCCCCTCTGTCCCTCTTCACTCCGAGGACAATGTTAGATAACATCTCTGAGCCCTGAAAAGTGACACAGATGAAGCAGAGACAGGTTTCTTCGTTGTCTATTGTGTTTTTTTCCACACGGTCAGGGTGACAAAATGTACTTCCATAGATGAAAATTCATAGAATTTTAAAGGACTGACAAAAGCAGATATTGAGTGGGAGTATTTTCTGGTATCTTGGAAGATACTGATGACTTTTGTTGCAAATATCTGGTTTTTAATTAATAGAAAAATGCATGAGTCTGGCCCACTACTGTGTGACTGCTTGTGATGGTCTCAAAGCTCTGGGCTCAAATGAGAGACCCCAATAATCACCATCGCTGGCATGTTTCAGATTTAACAAGCTAGACCACTCATATTGAGTTTCTTTCTTAACTGTAGATAAAGGGTTCACACATGGCTCTACTCATAGACATATCCAGATCATAAATGGAAATGAAAAAATAATATAGAATGTCATTTTTCAACCACTAATTAAGTGGCAGACCCAGGAAATGCTGATCAGTGGTTGCCAAACAAAAAGAGAAAAGCCAAGTGTTACTGACTCCCTAATAAAAGCATGGAAAGCTGTCTGTGAGTTGTTCCTGCTGGACCTTTGAACTGCTCAGAATTCTGACCTTTCTCATACGAGCCACTTATTTGCTGGGAACACGGGAGGTTCAGATGAGTGTCATTGTGTCATGAGAATGCAATGAGCAAACCTGGATGTGTGAGAGTGTGTTGGATAGAAGATATAGAATACAAAAACATTAAAACAGAAGGGAATAAAAAATGTGAAAAGGAGGAAACTATAGATAAAAATGACTCAACCCCAAGTGCACTCTGGACACCTTGCTTGAAACACATATATGGTGTGGGTATGGTTTAAGTGTGTCCGTGTTGGCTTCTTGATCCCCAATGTGACACTGTAAGGCTGATGGGATCTTAAAAGGGCAGTGCCTAGGGAGAGGATTTGTCATTGGAGGAGCACCCTTAGAAGGGACTGTAGAACCTAACCCTTCACTGATATCTTGATTCCTCCCACATGCCCTTGCCATTGTCATTGTCTACCATGCCCCAGGAGGACCTTGCCCTAGTCACACCAAAGTGACTCTAGAAATATGAAATAAATCCAATGTCTCTTCTCTATAAAGTTCATCCGTCTTTAATATTTTGTTATGGCAATGAAAAAAAACAAAATAATAAACAACAGACCAACGTGCCTAGTTCCAACAACCAGGGAAATCACCCGAAGTTTAAGCAGAGCTCAGTTGGGACATCACCAGGCATTTGAACACAAGCTAGCTGTGCATTTGATAATGACTATGTGCTAATTCATGCTCGTAAAAATGTCATCAAGGTTTAAAGGTTTGCAAATTCGATTAAGTGGAGGAATTTGAGAGCGGACAGGATCATTCTGCATTGCTAAGGTGGGCTCAAAACTTATCATTAGTTACCTCTGAAGAGAACTGGGAAAGGGAAGAGATGGGGGAGACTTAGATAATGCACATGGGGGTCTTGAATGAAGAGGCCCACACCCAGTCTCATGCCCTGGCGTCTGTTATGGGGAGGCCTATGACTGTGTTGGTTTCTCCACATTAGATTAAGGATTATTGTTCATTATCCTTACTACAAAATTTAGTTAGAAACTTGATGTATGTGGAGATTTCTAGCACACGGCCATGTATATTAGTATTTAGGAAAACAGCATTTAATATCAACAGGGACAGCAGTCTAATCTATAATTTTGCTTTCTACATTCTACAAAATTCCACAGTGGGTCTTTTTCCAGAACACTGGATTTTGGCAGGGAATGTATCTTTGAGACAGGGTCACTTTTCGGCCAAGAACTCCTCTCTGATTAGACTGGGTGACCAGCAAGCCTTGGGGCTCTGCACATCTGCCTCAAGCACTGGACATACCTGCCACCTTGTCCAGCTATTTATGTGCTTCTGAGGGTCAAACTCAGGTCCTCAGTCTTGGGCAGTAAGCCTTTATTCACTGACCTATCTATGTCCTTAGCCACTAAAAGGTTCAATCTTGAAGGAAAATTTTGTTCTCTGTGATTTCTATTGGCAGTTATTGATGGGGGAAGTCCTGTATATTTGTCAATAAAGCACTATTGACCCAATAGGAATCTAGATAGGTGGGACTAGGAGTCCAGGAGGACTCTGGGAAGGAGAAACGCCATGGGGTAGGAAGCCCAGAAACTTCTCCGGTAAGAGACATACTTAGATTAACAATTATGGGGTAATTACTTAAGTCAGAGCTAGCCAGTAAGAAACAAGCAAGGCCAACAGCTTCATAATTAATGTAGCCTCCTGTGTGTTTATTTGGGACTGATGCGGCTCTAGAACCAGGCTGGCGGGAAGGCTTCTCTCAAGGAAAAAGCTTCTCTTTACAAGTTATTTGCTTAGCACAATGTAAAGTTACTTGCTTGTCTTCTGGTTCTCAAAGCTCCTGTTAAGAAGTCAACTGTCCATCAATTTCCTGTTCCAACTCTGAGCTCAAGGTCTTTTACCACTATCAGTTACACCACCCTCTCCTAGGCTAAGGTTCACTATACCTAGGTCTGGATTTACTTGAATCAGGGGATTTATGTTTTCATTTTCACTAGTTTTAAAATTATGTGCCCGGGGAAAGCAGTGTATAAATAAGAATGCTGTGTTAATAAAAGAGGCAAGAGAGCAATGAAATCCATCTAAAGTGCTCAGTTTAAATCACAAAACTATTAAAATGTGCGGGACATGCACAAGGAAACTTTTTTTTTGCCTTTAATGTGGAATAAGACACCTGATTTTCTAAACCTTTTTTTTTTGAGACAAGGTATCACTTTGTAACCCAGGATAGCCTAGAAATACATTCCCAGTTTTCCTGCCTCATCCTCCCAAATGTGATTACAGGCATGAGCCACCATGTCAGGCTGTTTGGCTGTTTGACTGTTTGATGAACTAAATCAGTTTTCTTTAAGTCACTTGGAGAAAAAAAAACACTTGGATATAACTAATGATTATCAAAATACTTTACAAATGGTTCATATAATAAAATGGGAAAAGAAAGCCAGACAAGAGAAATTCGGGAAAAGAGAATGCAGAGTTTTCAGCAAGCTAAATTTTGTCAAATTGGGGGTTGCAGAGATGGCCCAGTGATCAAGAGTACATACTTCTTTTGCAGAGGACCAAAGTTCAGATTCCAGCACCCATTTCAGTGACTCACAACCACTTCTAACTCTGGCTCCAGTATAGAATGCCCTGTTATGGACTCCTTGGGCACTGTACCCATATGCAACTACAGACACACATACACCAACAATCGAAAATAAAATATTTAATAAGTATTGCCACATCAGGGACTGGAGAGATGGCTCAGCAGTTACAAAGGCTGCTGCTGCAGGGTACCTGGGTTTGACTCCCAGCTCCCACATGGAGGCTTACAACCATCAGTTACAACTCCAGAGTCCCGACAACAGTCCCTGGCCTCTGTAGGCACCAGACATATACTTGGAGCACAGATCAAAAGGGAAATGGTTAAATAAAATGCCATAGAAAGCTGCGATGTCTTTAGAAGGAATTCCTTCAGCTAGACATGGGTATATACGTGACCACAGAAGGAAACTGTGAGAACTGGAATGAGGAATAACACGTACAGTGTCCGGGGGACTTAATTTTAAAGGCAGGTAAACATGAAGAAGTGTAGACATACACGTGACTGTGAAAGGACAGAACGACTTCACAGTGAACATTGCTACGGCTTGCCTCCAGGTAGCAGGATGTAAGTGGGAATTGGCAGGGAAGTAGAAAGGGCCATATTGCCCTGCCTGTTCCAGATTGATGCTGGTACTCAACCAAGTGGGTGCCTTTGTGTACCACTTGTACAAGAAGGAAATAATTGCTGGCTGATTTCTGAGAAGGCACATTTTGTCAATGAAGGGCAGGTGTATGTTCACGCTCAGCATCAATATCT